GACCCACACGGAGCCCCTCAGGTGGAGGCGGTGGGCGGAGGCAGCGAGAGCTCGAGCAACTCTAGACTTCGGCACTGCTTTGATGGGCACCGCATCCCTCTCAGCCTTCGACGTTTTGTCGGCGGCAGCAGCATCCTGGAGCGCACGACGGGCACGCCTCCTGATCATAGCAGCAGCAGAGTCGACCGCATCGGTCCGAGGAAGGTCCCCCGCGAGCCCCCTCTCCCACGCCAACTCCGCCGCCCTCCCCGCCCAGATATCCGCAGCCATGTTTCCCATGGCGGTGAGCATCTCTTGCTCACAGTTAAAACTCGCTCTCTCATCCGTGTGGGATGGGGTCCACCGAACTACAAGCTGGCCAGGCCTGGATCTCCAAGACTTCCTAGCACGCTCCCAGAGGTCCTCCTGGAGGCGAGAGGCCCTGGGATTCTCAAGGATAGACTTCCAAGACCTGGCTATGTTCTTATGGTCGGTGACGAATTCAACATTACCTGGAACATTCTCGAGCATGAGGCAAAACGCAAGCAGCTCGGCCCTCGGGACAGACTGTTTCAGCCCGAGGAGAGGGACCGCCATGCCAGCACGCTCCTGGAACTGACCCTGCTCATCAGGCGCAAGGGCCACGATAGCAGCTCCACAGCGGCGCCGGCGAGGATCGTCTGAGTGCTTCCCTCCAGACCCGTCCCCGTACACCACCGTCCACCCCCCCTCCTCACATTCATGAAAGGCGCCTGGCAGCCTGAGCTCGAGCTCGGCCAGCAGCGCCTCGTCGAAGCGAGGCGTGGTCATGCAGACAGTGGGCACGCCACGGAGCCAGAAAGTTGGCTGGCTCTCATGCTGCGCTGTCGCCGCAGGCAGCAGCGAGGCAGTCTTGTCGTAGTCGTCGTGGTTGCCGTTGCACTCGCAGGACCAAATCCTGTGGAACAGCGTCTCTGGATGCTTCTCGCACCTTGGGCATGTGGTCGACTCCAGCTTGTACCCGCAGAAGTGCCTGCGAGTGCGGGTCCACTGCCCTCCAGCCACGACCGTCAAATTCAATCCATGTTCATCATGCTGGCCACGGGCCTGGTGGCGCTTGAGCTCCCTCATGATATGGAAGAAGTCACCGCCACCCGCCAGGCCCTCGCCATTGTCATGCTTACTTGTTTCTACCCACAGCGCCGAGCGGATGTCCCCGATGAGGTCGTCGATCAGCTCTGTCGTCGAGCCGAAGTTCTCGAACGCCTCGTCGCCGCTCGACGGGATGTGCCACTCATCAACTCCAGCGCTAGTCGGGCGGGTCCAGACCGTCGCAGTCTTAGGATCCCACCCCACATCCATCAAAGTAGCAATCACTGCTGAAATCGGACCTCTGACAATGCTCCAGCGCCGCCTCTCCGCCTTCGCAAGGCGGCCCCGAATCGACGGCCACACAAGCCTGAGTCGCCGATGCAGCTGCGGCTGAGCCTGCCAGAAGCTGAGCCATTCCAGAACTAACTGCCGTCGTATCTCCACCGCAGGGTCCTTCAAGCCGAAAGACGCCGCCAGTGTGCTGGTCAAGCAGCGCCCACCTTGGCCACCAGTGACGGCAGCCCCAGCCTGGCGCCGCAGTGCCAGCAGGGCCGACGGAGAGGTGCCATGAACTTGGTGCCCATATGTAGACTGCGGGCACGCACCAGTCGCCCACAAGCCGCGGGCCTCACGGCCAAGTGCAGCCATACGCCTGAGCCTCTTGATGCGCCCAGCTCGTCGTTGTGCCTTGACTCGCCTCGAGATGGCCCTGGCACAAACTCTGCGCCTGGCGGCCGCAACGTCGACGCCGAGGTCGACGCCCTGCAATACTGGCCTCACTGGAACTCCTCTCGCACGCAGCCTCTGTGCCGACTTCTTGGCCAGGGAGGCCGACGAGCCAAGAATCACAGACTTGGAGGAGACAACCAAACGATGCTGCTTCAACCCTTGAGCCAAGGACGTGCCCACAACATCCGTAGCAGGTAATACAGCTTCCGCAGAGCCTTCGCACCGTCCCACCGTATCGTCAATGAACGTCCAGAGTGACGCCGACGGGGCCTCCTGATGCACCCTCTCCAGGATGGGGTTGAGGGCCAGCTTGGAGAAGGGAACCCCATGGGACGAGCCAGCCACAATGCTGCGTGTAGGGAAGATCGCCTCGCTGAGCCAGCCGCGCTCGCGCAGGTAGCGCGGGTGGAGGTAGACCTGCACCTCGAGACCCATGACCGTCGGACTGAAGCCGGAGTCCAGGCCAATCTGGAGGAGGCCCACCAGCGAGACGCTGTCGTAGAACTTCTCGATGTCCAAGAGGAGGACCAGGAAGCTGATATGCTGCTCCTGGGCCGCCTCGTCGAGCGTCGCCCTCAAGAGGGCAGCGCGCAAGGCTGAAGAGCCGCGCACTGCTGTGTCCCAGAACGCAGCACGCGCAGGGCACCATTGCGACGTGAAGGCCTGGCGAGCACGCGACCACAGCTTGACAGGCAACGGCGCCATACCCAGCACACGATCT